GGGCCTGCACTGTCTGAATAGGACCATGGAGCCACTGCACATTCTAAAGAACCAAGTATAGAAAGGACTTAGCATCATGAACAATACTTGATGAACTCTCTAGAAACACAATTTTGACTTTATGATTCTTACTGATCAAGCTAAATAAGTTCTGAGCGAAAAACAAATGCCCACTGCAAAGAATTTTCAGGGAACATAATCACAATATTGTGGACATAAACTTAGCTAATATATAAGCAGTATTGTGCCAATCCTGAGATATTATTAAAATTATTTTGTAGGTGAGATAAGCAGCTTAAGAACGTTTATGAATAACAACAAAGTTCAAATAGAGATTATTTTATCCTGTAAGAGTTGTAACATAGTAAGAAGTCGGGCTGTGTGGAGAATGCCAGCAGATGGGAGGTAGAGGCAGAACTCAGCTTTGTGAATTGGAGGTCACCATGGTCCTCAGAGTGAGTTCCAGAACAGCTAAGGCTAGGCAGAGAAAGGTGTGAGAAGCCGGGCAGAGAAACACAGATTGTCACTGAAGCAGCACCGTACACCGTGCTGTACACAGGGAGGGAAGGGTTTGTATACGTAGAGGGTGGCAGGAAGGGAGTCATGCTAACCGTGACACCTACATCATCCCCGACTGATTGGCAGAATTTCCGTGGCTCTTCCACGTTTTAGCAGGAGTCGGCAGGGTGAGTGAGCATTAGACACGCTCTGCTTGTGGTTCCAAGTCACCGAATCTGATTGTGATTGAAGGAACAGGTAGGAGTAGATTGGGGTGGTAGAGTTTACACCCTTGAATTCCAGGGGAAAGGATTTAAATCTGCAGGAAACAAGAAACCTCACATTCTCATCACAAGAGACACGTGCCCTCACCCTCTGTTGATGTTGTTGGCAAGCATTTATTGATGAAATGATAAGCTTATAACTTCACAAATCGAGAAGTCCAATGCCCGCCCCAGAACTAAGGTCGTGCAATGATCTGGAAGTGTAGTTATTCAGATCGACAAAAAGATGGTGGCATTTCATCTACTATAATTTTAAGAACTTGACATTCACAAGAGAAGATGGTCTTCTCTGATGTGTCTTCATCCCTTAGATCTCCTTTGCTTGTGATGCTTTGCATGTTCTCTTAATGTTGTAATTAAACACATGAGTGTGTGTTCTTACCAAATGGCAAACACCAAGGAGCAGGGCAACATTAAATCTGCCTCTGGATTTACAATCCATTTGAAATATACTTTAAATGATCTGATGGCTTGATAGATAACCCATTTCCTAATGAATTTACTAGACAAAGTTTAAACGAACCGAACCAAGTTACATATGAATTTATATCCCAAATGCTCTTATTTATATTTTTCTTTTTTTTTTTTTTTGAGACAGTGTTTCTCTATAGTTTTGGAGCTTGCCCTGAATCTAGCTCTTGTAGACCAGGCTGGCCTCGAACTCACAGAGATCCACCTGCCTCTGCCTCCTGAATGCTGGGATTAAAGGCATGCGCCACCACCGCCCGGCTTATTGATTTTTTAAAAAGTACTGACAAGGCCAGTTTCTTGATTCCCATAAGACCACAGCTTTATCAACATGTCTGAGACAGAACAACACACACTGTTGTGCATTTTTATTATAGTAGAGTTGCATGTGCACTGTAGAAACTTTATATGCTACAGATAAGCAAAAGAAAGAAAATCCCTATAATCCTACCCTCAAAATAGCCAGAGTTACTGTTTTATAGGAATTTACAATGCAATTGACACCTGCCCCACCCTGCTTTTTTTTTTTATTTGAAATGCATGTGGCTAAGTTGTCCTTTAGCAAGACTGAGCTATTCTATACTTCTAGAGTTGTGGAGCATGCTCTTTGCTTCTACCAACATCACTCACAATTACCAATATTCAATCCTGGCAAAATAAGTGAAAGACAAGAATTTTAAAAAAATGAATGTGTATTTCTTCTAAAGCTAACGAGGTTAAATATTTCATCATGAGTTTATGGCATATCTGGGTAATTTGTCTCTTGGGGATTCCCCCCCCCCCCCGGTCGGTGACTAATTTTCCTACCCAGGCATGTCACTCTGTCGCTCTTAAATTGTTTTTGAGGACTTAGCGCATGTTGCTAAACTGTCTCCATGACTCGGCCAGTCACTTGTGTTTTATCATATTTCCTTTCACTGTCGCTGATCCTAGGAAGAGGGACGGAGAAACCAGGAGAAAGATGCAGCTGTGCTCCCTCCCCCATCGCTTGTAAACCGAGTCCACATCATGAGCTATAGATTCTTCCAGGAAAGGAAGCAAAGAGAAAGGCGAACCGCGGAATATTAATTTCTGTGTGACAAGAATTTTTCAGGAACAGTGGCAAAACAAGACTTTAAAATCAACGGATGCCTAGCCTGCTTTGGATGATTTGTAAGAATTTAGAGTTGATATGAATAAAAATGGCGTAATGTAACACTGGTCTAGAAAGGAGTATAATGCGAAGGGCATTTGAACAACGACAAGTCAGATTTGGCAATTACAGCTAACAGTGAGTTCTGTTCATCCACTATGGGTGCATTGAAGTGTTTCCATGGGACGTGCATGAAAGTCATGTATGCCTGTGCCCTGAAAAGTCAAGGAAGAATGAACACTTTCATGTTTTGGTAACTAAGAAATTAGCTGGCGGCAATGCTGGAATTCTTTCTTCTAGGAAGAAATGGAAACTGTGAAGGAGAAAAGTAAAAGAAACAACAAAAGAGAAAAGAAGTGGCCTGGCTGGGAGTACAGATGCAGAAAATACGGGACACTGAAAGATAGATGTGAGAAGACGGGAGCCTTAACAGAAACACATTGTATACATTTAATCTGCCCAAACTATCAAGATAGGTTGCAATGTGTCTAGTTTATATAAGCAGAGCATACAAAAATATGTGATTCAAGATACTTCAAAAGAAACTTGTCTCTCATGGGTCACAAATAGTGAACTGTGTCTTCTATGAGGTATACATGTTGAAAGTAGGTTGTGATTTTAAATCTTAAAGATTTGAAGAGAGAGAGGGGGAAGAGAGGGGAGAGAGAGAGAGAGAGAGAGAGAGAGAGAGAGAGAGAGAGAGAGAGAAAGAGAGAGAGGCTGGATGTGACAAGTTCTATAGCTTGCTGTGGGAATTTAGTCATTTTAAATTCCTAGGCTATTTTCAGAGACATCCCCCTCCCCCATCAGCAGCTTCAGAGTCAAGGGGACCATTTAGAGTTGTATTTGACTTCGATAAATAAAAGGTGTTTGGTTTAATTGTCTTTCTACCTGAAGACACTTTAAAAGTCAACAAGAAAATTGATAAAACCTCAAAACACATGGACAAAATTGATTGGGATCATAGAACCAGTCTAGATTCAAACTATTTCCTGGAGAGAGAGAGAGAGAGAGAGAGAGAGAGAGAGAGAGAGAGAGAGAGAGAGAGAGAGAGACTCGGTCAGGTGTGTCTAGGAACAGAGAAAGTAGCTGATGATAGTGTTTTAAACTTACTTTTTCATTTCCGATGGTGTCCAAAATTTTGTTGGTTCGGTGTTATATGTAACAAAATGAGAATCATGACATAGAAACAAAACTGTGCTTAGTTCTTTCATAAACACTAAAAGTTATGAAATTATTGAAACAGTGGAGTCAAAACTGTGGATGCCTTGCCATATAGCTTCAAAGTTTTCTTTTAAAGAGTTTGAGTAGGATGCAAATACCTGATTGTAGTAGTCTGTAAAACCCGGGCATAAAAAAAGCACGGATTGAAACTATAGGTGACAAATGGGAAAGGCGGTGAAAAAAGGATCCTTGAGCTAATGGAAAGGTTCACCAGCAGCCCAGGAAAGGCTTATGAATCATGTCTCCAAGTGGTCACCCCAAGCACTCGACTCGTGATAGCCTCCGTCTTTGGCCTCTTTCCAGAGTCAACCAAAAATTGGTAACAGAAATCACACAGGGAGGAGACACGTCAGACGGCTTGAAATCCCGACAGAAACGTGGTTCGTGGCCCTCTGAGAACTCTCAGACTGTTCAGTGTTTCTCAGGGTCACAGGTGGGTTTAACACCCACCAGTTCATGTTGTAATGGTCTCCCTCCGATGAGGTGAAAATGAGCTTCTAAAATTCGTTCTGAGCTTTTTTTTTAAAAAAAAATCTTTGCCACCTTGACTTTATGTATATGTTGGTTTGTGACCCTCAGTGCATGAAGCTTATGCCCATGGTTCTGAGGTAACATTTTCCTGATTTCCACCATTATGGGTCAATAATAATACATCTTTAGCTCCAACTGTGTGAACACATAACTAAAAAAAAAAAAAAAAAAACCTCGTTAAATGTTCTCTATTCCTTGGCTTAACCTTCCAAATTCTAGAATTTAAAAAGTCACGTACACTATATGTATATAAATATTTTTATATATCTACTATAAATATAGATCTGAAATATACTTTCTGTATATTTGCTGCTATACCCACTCCCTCCACATATCGAAAGAAAACTCAAAGAATTAAAAGATCAGTATTTATAACATCACTCCACGGGAGGATTATGTATTTAACAGTCATAATATACCTTTATGCGAACACAAACCTACATGCAGGATAGTGATTAGAACTCGAGTTAACTCGATTAACATTAAATAAACGCCAGACAAGGAAGTGAAAAATATACATGATACCCTTTTTATTTTTAGCTCAACTGTTAAAAAGCCAATTATCTACCTGTGAACGTACGCCACACATTGTACTTTGAGGACTCTTCATAGTCAGAAGTGTGAAAGGGTCTGCCTCCAAACTGTCATTGCTTCTATGATATTGCTATTAAAACAGAAGCCTGAAAGACCTAATTCCCAGATCTGTGTGATCAAGGAAAACCTGGGCACGAGTTGGCTGAAGACTGTCTTGCGGAGTCCTCCGTGCTCCCCGAGTGGGAGGGTCACAGTGGAGGGACGAATAAGGGCAGAGATGCGTCCCGCTTCCACTCGCTGGGAGCTGGCGCGGGCCACTCCGCGGTGGTGCGGCAGCCCTGTCCGGACTCCACCGCGCCTCGCAGGGGCTCCGACACCAACCCAAGGTAAGCTGCTCAGCTCTACCACTGGCCGTTTTGCTTGATGTCGCCCACACTAGCCCGGTCTCTGTCATGTGCTGTGTTTCTGGTCATTTGCCTGCATCTGCTTTTTAAGAAAATGTCAAAAACGGTAGTGCACATGTGCACATATTTCAGGGGTAAATTTGCCCACCTGCAGTTACGCATTCCCACGCTCCAGCCGAGGGGACCGAGTGCATTTGGCCAGATCAGGCCACTTTGATACGCTACCTATAATGTGGTTCGTGTTTGTGCGTCCAGGTCAAGCGGGCTCGCGCGTTCCACTTTAGTTCTCGGTGGGTTTTCTGGGTGGGTTTGGGAAAGCAGAAGTGTGAGCGATGCTAATGCGGGTGGAACGGACACTCAAGGAGAATCCACAGAGCAAGCTACGAATTCTGCCGGGCTGTGGTCTGGGGCTGGGATGCAGTGCCAGGAGAGGCGAAAGCCAGGACGCGCAAGCTAGGACGCCCGAGTCCTCCATGGAGTTACCCACTTCGACCTCCCAAGGGGGTTTCTGAGCCAGTCTTGGGCTGACAGGGGCGAGAATCCGGGACTGGTCCCCGAGTACCCGGCCCTGTGCCTTCTTCTACCCGCAGAGTGCGCAGCGCGTCCGGCCGGAGCGCAGCCGCCATCCCCGCCGTCCTCACTGCCACGGCCGCCACCGCGGGGACGTCAGGGTCCCAGCGCAAGGGGACGCCGCCCCGCCTCCGCCCGCGGCCCTCGGCTCTGCGGGAATCCGGCCGGCGCCGCAGCCACCGCGACCGGGAGGAGGGAGGCGGCGCGCACGGTCCGGGAGAAGTTTGTTGGCCCGGAACCAAGCGCGCCACCGCGCAAGCCAGCTCCTTTGAAGCAGGCGGGCGATGAAGCTTAACCTTACCCCAGCTAGGTCGTGGAGGGCTCTGGAGCCAGTCGAGTGGATGCGCAGGTTCCCCACTGCATGGGAGGTAGTGGGGGAACGCATGGTGGGTCTCGGGGGGCAGTAGACTCCGCAGTAGAAAGAATCGGACCCAGATGCTGAAAATGTGTACTTTTAATAGAACCATCCAGGAACTGCGACAGTGGGTGATGTGAGACCTAGCTCGAGGCTGGGAAATGGAAGGGTAACAGAAATAAATTGTGCTGCCTCCTCCCACCCCATCGCCAATTCAGAGACTACTTACTTCCAGCCTCTCCTAGGAGAGGAGGTAGAGGCGCTTTAGAGGAATTGACATCTGCCCACTCCCCACCGCCAAGAAGGGGAGTTAATGAAAGCAACAGTCCTGCACAAACCAAGGCCTACGGCTGTTCTGTGAGAGGAGGGAGAGAAGTCTGGCTTGATAAGGGTTGCCTTTAGGTTCTCCCGAAAAGGCAAGCAAAGCTGCAGAACCCTTTCTAAGTAAAGAGCTCGCCACCAGGCTCCTGCAAAGGAGGAGGCGGGGTGTTTTCATGGTGCAAACTGTAATTTCCCAGTCCCCAGACAAACGGACGGGACAATATCTGAGCGGGAGAATTCTTCAGGGCACAAAAGAGGAGGTAGCTGACAGGGCTAGAGAACTCATTCTCCCTCCGGGAGGAAATGTTGGAAGTAGCTGCCAGGTGCTTCCACGTGGTTTAGATCAGAACGATTTCTGCGAGTGTTCAGAAACCTAAGCGAGGCGTCCTGAGAAAGGACATCTGTGACAATAGAGCAGGGAGAGCGGCTCCATATGGACAGGTAAGAGAAATGCCCAAGGGAAGGGAAGAAAGCCGTGCAATTATGTTGTTCACCTCAAATCCTTTCCAAACAGATGGGAGTCCATGGTATTCCTCAAAAATGGAAACTTTCCGTCTATTTTCCTGGTCCTGCAGTTTGATCTCTTTTGCAGAAATCTCAGTTCGTTTGTTTTCTGAGGCAGCAGAAATGGGCAGTGGGTTCTGAGTGCGCGATTCTAGAGACAGGAACCAGAGGAGAGCGACTAATAGCATCTTAAGTGGAAATCCAAATGACGAATGAAAAGCAAGCAGGGATACAAAGAAGTGGGGCAGCAGATATATTAATACATAGCCTTGTGGAGGGATACTGCGGGCTGGGAAGTCGAATGAATGGGCTGAGTTCAATAACGCCAGCCAGGCAGGCCTTGTCGAGAGCTTGCATCCAAAGAGGCAGAGAACAGATAGGCTTAGCAGAGGAGAGCAAGCAGGAGAGACAAAAGGAACGGCATGTATGAAGGCTTAAAGGTGTCGAGCGGGAGCATTCATGTGCCCGGTAAGACAGATAGCAAAGTTGATGTGGAGTCTAGGATGAGGAGAGATAGCAAGAAGACTGGAATGGGGAGGCTGAGGAGCAGGGGTCGCTGGATGCTGTTGTGTAAACCAACAGCAAGACACCCGGGTGAGGAGGCTGCACACTGAATTTAACAGAAAGACAGTAATGGCAGACCAACAGACCAACGAGAAGGCTGTGTCGGCCAGCCGCAGTTGCTGAGATCTGGGGTATCTGGGAAGCTATGGCAGACAGCTGTCATTGCGAGCAGCGTGTCAACAAAGCAGATGCACTGTCAAGAAGGGAGACAAGCCCTTAGGTGTGTGCACATAGAATCTGAGGGTGGATATCTTCCGGGAAGTGAGCACTATTTCTGAAATGAAAGGATAAATTTATAGAACTTTGAAGTATTTAGGCGAATTGGTCAGTAGTACAAATACGCGCAGTCAAGGAGTGTGTTTTTTGTGATGCCAAAGACCCACTTCAATACTGTTATTATTTTTGAATCTCACAAAGTTAAATTCATCAAGCCAACTTTTTGCAATTTTTATACTTCCCTACAATTCCTTATTTCACATGTATCTCTCTACAAATATGAAGTAGGCCAGGTGTCACTATATTGGCTCATAATTCTCAATATCTGTTTTGTTTTCATCTACAAATTTGCCAGAGACTGTGTTCCTTTTGCCAGCTGGTCTCATAGCTGCCTACTGATGCTAGGTTTGCAGGGGATGAACGAATAAAATGCAACCATTTATTTTCCTTTAAGAGCGGAGACAATGCAAGCAAGTTATCACCGCATAGTAGAGACTGCTGATGCAGAGGAGAGGAGATCAGTGAGCTCAAAAGGCAGGGGCTAGCGAACTTTGCCTTGGATGGTGCTCACAGACCACACAGAAGATGGCTTTCCAACAGCAAGTTGAAGGCAGAATAAGAGTACCCAGGTGGTGAGAAGACTGGAAGAATGCTCCTGCAGGAAATAAGAAAATAATAAATAAATAAAGTATAAAAAGCACAAATAGCTTATTATGTACAAAACCCTTCTTTTGATCCCCAGTGCAAACCCTGAAAGCGTGGGCAGAAGCATGGTACTTGGGGTCCAGCTTCTAGTTTGATGGGGCAGTTTGGAAACCAGTAGATAGGCAGAGAGCTGGGGAGGCAAGGCTCCACTGTACCAGAGCCTTAAGTCCCTTGCTTCATAGTACACAATGAAATATCACTGAGGATGGAAAAGAGAGCCCTCATGGGTTTAGAGAAAGAATTCTTAGGCAGGACTTCCCACACGTTGCTGCAATCTGGCACTCGGCTGGTGTGCTAATCACTGGTGTGCAGCTATCCCAGAATACCTACAAAGCCTTGTTGGGAGAAAAGGAAGAAGTGATCAATTTTCAGCAGTTGGGAAATGGAAGTTGGGGAAACAAGAGTGGAGGAAAAGAGTCTTGTTGTAGCTGTTGCAACAACTAGAAAAGAGTCTAGCAGAATCTGTTTTAGCTTCCAGGACTAGAAATGGCACCAAAGTGAACAGACTTCTTTTGTGTGTGGAGAAAGTGTGCCTGGTTTCAAAAGACACACTTTACAGGGATATGACAGGCTTCTCTCCAGGTCTGAAGTGCATAGAGAGTGAAGAAGAAATTGAAAATGATTTAGAAACTTAGAGTGTTCCTACTTTGACAGTATTTGTAACAAAAGCATAAAGGTGAGATTTCTGTGCGGTTTTTAAGAGGGTAGAAACCTCGTTCAAGTTGTGGGAGGTTTCTGTGGACTGACTTTAATTTCATTAGTAAAAGAAATGATGAAATTATAAAATAACAACACATCTATTACAAAGCAATTGTGTTTGATTATTAGCTTAGGATTTTTAACTCTGATGACTTTTCTGCTGGCTTGTTTTTTCTCTTCATAAAAGTTAGATTCCCAAGATTGACAAGAGAACAGATGTGTGACACCTGTTGTTTTGCTTATTTACACAATGAGACTTTCCTGCTAGAGTTGCATACAGACATACGGGAGGATAGTCAAGAGAGTTTGATTTAAAAATTAGGCATCTACCCTACTTACTTTTCTCTCGTGGACCACAGTGACACCAAGCACTTATTTACTTATTGTGGTTATTATGTGTATGTGTATTACATGAGTTTATGTCTATAACATTAAAAAGGTGCCCATATAGACCAGATGGCATCAGATTCCCTGGAACTGGATTTACAGCCATCAGTGAGCTGCCTGATGAGGGTGCTGGGACCAAACCTGGGTTCTCTCCAGAAGCAGCAAGTGCTGTTAACTAATGAGGCATCTCTTAGCCCTAACACCAGACTTTTATTTGACTCGTTGCTATATCTCCACCCAATTAATGGTACATAGTAGGGCTCTCATCATATCAATGAAATTAAGGAATAAAGTTTCCAGTTGATCCTTCCTGTGCTGTTCATATTTTCTGTGTACAAATATAGACTTTATGTTATAACACATACTATGGAATTTTTCAAAACTTGTCTTTCTTAAAAAATCCATTAGATTTTATAAAAGCTTTACAGATTTTGATAAGCGTACTAAGAATAAGAGATAGTATCCAAAACTTACCTGGCCAGCAAAGGGTGGAGGAGAATATTTGGGTTACAAGTAGTGATCAGCGCATCCAGACATCTTCTATGTTGTAGCTGTCATAGCAGTGAGAAGTAGGTTTCAGGCAGGGCTACCTGCAGGACTTCCGAGGTTTGTTTTAGAAGGTCCACTGTTGTCTATGTAGGCCTGTCAGTGCTGAGCACAA